CCCAGTCCTCGCCGTCATCTTTCTTGCCAGCTTTCTTATCCTCCTTGAAGCTCTGCTGCTCCAGGCGGGTAAGATCGACCTGAAGGGCAAACCCCGATACCCCCACACACCCAAGCACAAAGCACAATAGAACACATCAGATCCATATGTTACCAACATGACCAGCAAGCCTCGGAATCCTCCGCCGCTGTGTCCTTGCTCACGAGATCGGGGTTCTTCGGGGCCTCCTTCATGGACGTGGACTCCTTTTCCGAAGTGTCGGGGTGTTCCGGGGCCTCCTTGATGGACTCCTTTTCCTCGAGAATCTCCGGGGCCTCCTTTATGGACTCCTTTTCCAAGGTCTCGGGGTTCTCCGGGGCCTCCTTGATGGACTCCTTTTCCACGGTCTCGGGGTTCTCCGGGGCCTCCTTGATGGACTCCTTTTCTACGGTCTCGGGGTTCTCCGGGGCCTCCTTGATGGACTCCTTTTCTACGGTCTCGGGGTTCCCCGGGGCCTCCTTTGTGGACTCCGTTTGCAAGGTCTCGGGCTCAGGGTTCTTCGGCATAGCCAAGGTCTCGATGTTCTCCGGGGCCTCGTTCATGGGGTGCGTGGCCAAGGTCTGGGGGGTCTCCTGTCCATCGTCGCTGGCGAAGCTGCCCAAACTCATGACCCCTGCGTAGGCTTGAGTATCTACATTGTCCACCGACAAAACCGTCGCCTTGTCAGTCCAACCTGGAGGGTGTGCGCAAATGACCTATCAATCGATCTATGAAGCTTGCACACATAACACTGCCGATGCAGGTTCTCTTAAAGCAGGCCTTTCGCCGGCTGGGTCTTCTGCAACAAGCTAGCCCTGCGTGCTTGAATCTGCTGCCTCACTCACATTCAAGGAACTCAATACTCAGGTCTCGAATAAATCAAAGCATATGATACAAGGCACTTGAGCTCTTCAATGCGCTGTGCTCGCAGGTCTCTGTCAGAGACCCTTCTCACAAGCTCCGGGGCAGAGGGGGTCATCACGCAGGCAACCGGGGGCTTGTGCTCCGGTGTCACTCTGGTGCTGAGCACGGGCTCTGACGAAGTAGCTGTGGAAGGACAGGCTTCGACTGAGCCTGCAGATGGAGAAGGTCCAGCGTGTGCAGCTGGGGAATTTTCGGCTGCAGCTGCTTCGGCAACATGAGCTGGAGATACCGGGAGGTAGCCATCATCGTCGGCCATGATGCCAAGTATGCCAAGGGTTTCGCCCAAGCCCTCATCATCCTCCCCGTCCTCTTCTTCATCATCTCCATCTTCTCCCTCGGCCGCTCCGGGCTCATCGCCCTCTTCGGGCTCATCGCCCTCTCCGGCATGATCCGACTCATCATCAGCAGCGTCTGCTGCTGGCCAGAAACCCAAGAAGAAATCGTAGACTCGCTGGAGCTCCGGGTCCTTAATTACCATCTACTACCAGAAAGCCTCGAACCCTTCAACTTGCGAATCCCTCACAGCAACTTGAGTTAAGTCTCTCGTTTCTTGATTGAGGCATACAGCCGTCTGTTGATCAGAGACATGAACCGCTTGATGGCGTGGGCTTCACAGTAAACGTTGGCTGGATCCTTTGGCTTGCGCAACTTCACTCGAACATGGGCCACCTGCAAGGGAAGGAATCTTCAATCCAATTTAAGGCACCCAACCGAAACACCTTGAACCGCACACCTGCCTCCTTCTTCACTGTATTAACGTCCAAGCCAAGTTGTGTACTTGACTGTCTGACCACTCCTGTTAGCCTGGGATCAGGCCATCTCAAGAGAGTCCCATTCTCCAAGAGGCGGTCCCGGCAATCTGGATCATTCGCAAAAGCCACACCAAGGCCAGTAAGATGGCCTTTCGGAAACACATTCCTTTTGCCGCTGGCCTCCATGGCCGCAGCACTAGACCGCGCACACACAGACAACAACCCCAATCGAGCCTAAAGACCACTAAACAACACGATACAGCAAGGCTTTGCTTCGAATCCGGAGCTCCATCACAAGGCAGTAGACGTTGCTCAGCGATGGCCGAACCAAAACTCAGCTACAAGCATCCAAATCTTAGACACTATTTTCCCCGATGGCATGCCGTGCAGAGTCATCCGGAGACTCTGCATCTCGGCACCCCGGCAGGCGTTCACATTATGAAACGTGTGCCGCCTGGCCTACCTAGGTCATGACCCCTCAGCCGCTCAAGAACTGCCTTCGGGCTCACATCATTTGCTGCCTCAGCTTCTACATACGTTAGCCACACAACCAAGCAGGCACTAGAGATTACAGTTCAACACAACCCTGCAGCCAAAGAACTCAGTTTCTTGTACGCCCGCCACAACAACCAAGTGGCTCCCTTCATGTAAAAGTTCTCAAGAAGCATCGTGAAGTGCTTCTCGTCGATCTCATCCTGACGGCAAACTCTACATGACCTACGAACTTTTCACCTGGCTTCTACTGATTTCCTAGTTTCGTCACTGCCACTGAAGCACCTCCGGGCTCACCGATGGATCCAAAACGTGGTTCGCCTGCTTCCAAAAGCACCCTGGCATATCCATAAGACCTGACAGGGAATGGTTGGGGGTCAACTATCATACTCCAACCGAATACGAAACACCGTGCCACCCGTGCCTGTGTCGTATGCTACCGCAATCATGCGAGAAGCATTCATTCCCGTCTCTCTGTTTGCCATCGAGAATGCCGGTCTGTTCTGGAGCACTTACCACCGGAAGCTGAAAAAACTGAGCCTGAAATGTTCATCGAGTCAGCGTTGGCTTTCATACAAGCAGCTGGCACCATGACAGACTCACTTGTACGTGTCGAACAATCAAACAACAGTGGGCTGGGGCACACTGTCTTCTTCAGCCAGGCAGGCAGCATGGCATGACGTTGATGAGCCGACAGCTAAAGCTAAGCGAAGCACCAGGACTGTCAAACCCAGATTCGCCCACATAATCTGAAAGCGCACAACACTTGGAACACTTGCCCAGATCAGGCCCCTGGAGCCCTTGATTCGTGATATCCGCCCTCTTGTGCCGAAAGAGCTTTCTGTGGGAGCGGGCAAGTTTTTAGCAGCCATCCGAAGAACCAGGTATATATATATATATATATATATACTATATATACTATATATACTAACTCTACTACATATACTATATAAATATGTATATATTATAAATATACTATATATATATATATATACTATATATACTGTATAAACTATATATACTAAGGTTATATCTCCTGTACTTATTACATATACTATATATATATATATATATATATATATAGAAACTTGAAACTCTATGTATATCTGTATATATATATATATAGATATATACTATATATACTATGTACACTAAATATACTATATATACTATATACACTATATATACTATATATAGTATATATACTATACATATTATATATACTATACATATTATATATACTATAAATACTATATATATATATATATATATAAATAAACTCTATATATATATATATATATGAACAAAACTATAGAGACTTATATATATATTTATATTATATCTCTTATATTATATTCTTTTTCTTTTATTCTATTTATTCTCTTATATTACATTATTTATATTCTTTCAATTCTATTAAATTCCATTATATATCCTATAATCTTTATGTTATATTGTATTCTATATCTATGATATTCTATTATATTTCTATGATATCTGTTATATTCTATTATATTCGATTATGTTCTATTCTATGCTATTATATATATGATATTTATTCTATCTATTTATGATATTCTATTCTATTATATGATATTCTATTCTAATATATTATATTATATTATATTATATTATATCTTTTTACATTATATTGTATTTCTTTATTATATTACATTATGTTGTAGTATATTACAGTATATTATACTACATTAGATTACATTATATTACATTATATTACATTATATTACATTATATTACATTATATTACATTATATTACATTATATTACATTATATTACATTATATTACATTATATTACATTATATTATATTATGTTATATTACATTACATTACAGTATATTATATTATATTACATTATAATATATTATACTACATTAAATTAGATTACATTATGTTATATTATACTATATTATATTATGTTACATTATATTTTATTACATTATATTATAATATATCATATTATATTCCATTATATTATATTATAATATATTATCTTTACTGTACATACTATATATATATATATATATATATAGTATACATACTATATATACAACATGTACTATGTATACTATGTATGTGTATATATATATATATATATTACTGAAATACTACCGTCCTTCCTTCCTTCCTCCTTCCTTTTTTCCTTGCTTTCTTCCTTCCCTGTGTAAATAACAGGACGTGGGAGCAAAAGAAAGAGGGCCAAAAAAAAAAAAGGGCACAAACAAGAATGGGTTCCTGTTCTTGTTTCTCTTTCATTCCTTGCTAGCTCCTGTGCTTTCTTGCTTTCTTTTGTGCTTCCTTCCTGGCTTTCTTTCCTTCATCATCTTTCTTCTGCTTTTCTTTCTTCTGGGGTTGTGCTTTATTTGTGTTATTCCTTGTTTGCTTTCTTGTTGCTTTTGCGGGACCGAGGGACCGGCGGAAAGCAGGACCAGGAAACCACGGGACCAGGAGAGCACGGGACCAGAGGACCAGCAGACCAGAGGGCCAGAGGACTACAGGACCAAGGACCAGAGGACTGGGGACCGCATGCACGGACACCACAGGACCAGAGGACCAGCAGACCGGAGGACCACGGAACCACAGGACCAAGGACCAGAGGACCAGGGGACCGCATGCACCAGGGACCCTTGGCCGCACCTCGCAAACAAGGGTTGGCCGCACCTTCGAAAAAAAAAACCCATGGCCCCTCATTATGGTTCTATGTATATACCCTAAACCTCTAAACTCCTAAACCTAAAAGCCCTAAACCCTGTCCAACGGGATACAAAGCGATCCCAAAATCTGAAGAAACGGCCTCCAAGCTCGAACTTCCAGTCTCATGGTGCACCTTCGTACTCCGGTTTGCTTAAGGGTTTAGGGTTTAGGGTTTAGGGTTTAGGGTTTAGGGTTTAGGGTTTAGGGTACTCCGGTTTGCAGTGAACCCCAGAAAGTTGGAGCGTGGATTAAGGATGATCAGTGGTAGGATTCCCTGTACTTTACCATAAGGGCAGGAGGATGATGATGTTCCAACTTCTTGTCTTCCACTGTAGGATTTAGGGATCTAGGGTTTCGTTTTGAGCTTGTTCTTTTGTTCTGATTGAGAGAATGGTGGCTTACTTTTAGGGGCCTTACCGGGGATCCCAAAACCTACCGTTTTACGGGCTCTACCCTCTAATGCCCTCTAATTCATTAAGGGGTCGCAACCAGTAATTTGTAGGGTTTTGGGTCACAGGTATTATTCTGAAATAAAAAAGGTCTTGGGGTACTGCCTATAGTATAGTTATATGCACCTTCGTACTTTTAAAAACGGATGTGGTGGTACTGACAGCAGAGTTATATAAAGGAATTAAGGAACCCGAAGAAATGGTATTGGTACTTATCCCGACCCTAAACCCTAAAACCCGAAACCCCCGGCCCGAAGCCCTAAACCCCTAAACTAAATCCTAAACCCTCAGCCCTGAGCCCTAAACTCCTAAACCCCTGAACCCTAAACCCAAAGCCCTAGACCCGAAGCCCTAAGCCCTAAAGCCGGGGGGGGGATGGGCAGCTCCGGAGCTCGGATCTGCTCTGCAGTCGGGTGATAAGAAGTAGTCCAAAGAGGAATTGGGTATTGCGATGGGGGACACCTTAAGGATTTTAGGGTTTAGGGTTTAGGGTGATCAGACGTAGCCCAATGGGGGGACTTTAAGGATTAGGGATCCTAACGACACCAAAAGTATACAGAATAAATGGTCTTGGAGAGGTCTTGGGCCATTATTTTACATAGTTTTGGGGGGTCTAGGTAGGTGCTGGCATGGGGGATACCTGAGGCAGTAGGGTCTAAGGGGATACTTACCCAAATCATCACAGGAATTCCTATGCTTACATTCTACCCCACCTAGGAGCCTTTGGCTACTTGGAGGATCATGGGACCTAGTAAGTAAGGTTATAAGTACCTTAATTGGGTAATTATAAGTATAGTTACACCTGAATTAAAAACCCAGTTACTGAGGCCAATGACGTTTTAAGTAAACCAACCCTAAATCTGCGTTGCCGCTTGCTTCTGAGCCTGCAGCTGCGTTGACCTTGCCAAGCTCGGCATCAAAAACCGTTATAATTGCATCTTCTGCTGCCCCCATGGTCACGGCAATGTCATCAACTTCACTCAGGAAGTTCACACCCATCAAGGCCACACAGCGAGTTTTCAAGGAGCAACCGCTTGAAAACTGCAGTGTTGCGGTCATGGCACCATGCGTTTATACACATACAGCCCGCCTGGGAGCTTTTGGAAGCTTTGCTTGTGGCCTGGAAGCTTTGCTTGTGGCCTGATACTGGCGCACAACGCATTTTCAAGGAGCAACTGCCCAGCGAATTGAAAACTGCAGTGTTGCGGTCATGGCAGTGGTGCTCAGTCTGGAAACCCATGTTACATGTTGTTCACAGAGTTTCTCAACTCGTGAGCCACTTTCCTTTTGCAGTTTGGAACGGTGCTGTCAGCGACATTGCCTGCCAGAGCAAAATTGGAGATCCTCTCGACAAATGCAAACAAGCTTTTCTGGCCATCAGGTCCATTGCAAAAAACACGACAGGAAACGATCTAGCTTGGGTCGGAATGTTGAGGGCAGCCAGCAAATTCCAAAATTCCGCTGATGCCATGAAGCAGCAAAGCCAGTCATCTTCTCAGCTCCAGCGTGAGGATACCCGGAGGACGCCATGATCACAAGAAGAAGGTGGAGGCGGATTTGAGGAGTGTTTCGATTGCTGCCAAAGTAAGTAGGGTTTAGGGAATAGGTTGTAAGTAGGATTATACGTACGCCAACTGGAGGTACCCCAAATACAACCCCACTTAGAACCTACTTGTTCTTACTTACTAAGTCCCCTGGGGAACCAAGTGAAGTCCCTGGCTGAAACATCGCAAAGTGGCTCTTCTGGTTATCTTGGGGATTTCGATTACTTTCACGCTGCCTGTAGCTTGAAACCCGAAACTATTGAAATCACACATAAACCTTTCCTGAGATTCGGGGTCGTGCTTAAGTCTGAAACATTAATTCCAGAATCCGTCTCATGACGACGACTAATTAATTACAGCCCAGTACCGAACACCCACCAACATTACGAGCGTTCTTTCATATGTTTTGTGATGCCGAGGGCGGGGGGTGAGATATAGGGTTCTGCAAATTGCTCCACTAAGGGTTCTGTAAGGGTGAGGCTACAAGGAGTTCTTGAACCTCCCAAACCCAAAACCCTATAACCTGAAGGCCCTCTAAATAAAGGAGCCCAGTATCAGTATGTATGTATGTATGTATGTATATATATATATATATATATATATATATATATACGAGGACATGGACCGTTGGACACTCAACCCCAACCCCCAATATGAACCCCACTAGGAACCCCTTAAAGCCTTAGGGCTTCCGGTCAAGGTCCTGGAGAACCTGCTCTTTATGGGGAGTTTGCAACCTTCTTAATGTAGGGGACATTATACTTGGAATGGGCCTTTGCTGTTAGGTCTATGGGGACATTGTCATGCATATGGTTTCTGGCGTACTTAGCAATCCGTGCAGTTTCCTTAAACTCGAAACCCCAAGATAACATCCGAAAGCCTGCAACATGGACCATCCAAAACACATCCGCACCGCGATTTCCGCAAACGTAGCGCGAGAAGCCCTAAGCTGCCAAGCACATGGTCCGAAAACCACGCCTACTTGGAGGATCATGGGACTTAGTAAGTAAGGTTATAAGTACCTTAATTGGGGTTACAAGTACATATGAGTATAGTTGCCTGATTTATAAACCTTAGTTACGCAGTCCCATGACGCTTTGACTTGGAATAAATCCTAAACCTGTCCGGGGCGGATGCCAGAAGCTGGATTTCCTCCCCGGCATGCCTTTGCTGGCAGAGTGATGCGTGGGACCGGTGTGCAGCAGTCGTGGTAACGGTAGCAGTGGTGGGAGTGGAGGTAGTCGGTAATAGTGATCGTGGTCGTGGTCGCGCGTCGGTCTTCGTCGTCGTGGTGGTGGTCGTCGTCCTCCTCCTCGTCGTAGAAGTAGTAGTAGTAGTAGTAGTAGCAGTAGTAGTAGCAGTAGCAGTAGCAGTAGCAGTAGCAGTAGCAGTAGCAGTAGCAGTAGCAGTAGCAGTAGCAGTAGCAGTAGCAGTGGTAGTAGCAGCAGCTGCAGTACCCGTGGTAGCAGAAGGAGGAAAAGGAGACAAAGCAGCAGTGGGATTAGCCGTGGCAGCCGCAGCAGCAGTAGCTGCAGTCGTCTTCGTCTTTGCGTCTGAGTTCGTGGTAGGGGGACGAGGAGGCAGCCTGAAAAATGTGTGGGTTTTAGGGTTCAGGGGTTTAAGGATTGGAGCTTAGGGTTGAGCTTCGGGATTCAGAGTCAGGCGCAGGATGTGGGGCTAAGAACCTGGCAGGCGACAGGAGGCACGCCTGGAGCTGCCAGAGTCTCATTCGTCGTCTCATAACTGTCTGGTGCTTGATTAGTACGGAATGAGGGAATGGATCCCTACAGTAGTCCCTATATTATCCCCAATCATGGTCCCCAATATCCATTCCCCCATTCCCTACTAAGCACCCGGGAGATATCTTGTAATTTGCGCGCCCCGCACAACTGCTGAAATACAGGAGCCGGCATAGTAGGAATTCTGTTTTCCTAGTTGTTATAGTAGTTTAAAAAATAATGATGAATCATGCATTTGATGCTTCAGGCTTTCGTATTAAAATCTATGGACCATGATGAAGACACTGCCACCATGTGTGAATCCAGAGCCCTTAACCCCACACCTACTAACCTCAATGAAGAAGAACGAAAAGCGCATGGTTGGGAATTTAGGGCCAGGATTCATGATTCAGGCCTTACATCGCCGAGCCCGACCTGAACCCTATCCCTGAATCGTCAACACTCAATGCCCAAACCATAGCCTCAAATTTGCTTCCCAAAACCCCGACCCCCCAATCCCCAAGCCCTTATAGATCCTTTATAGGAACTCTTATAGAACACCTAAAGATCCCTTTAAAGGACCCCTATACCCCTAAACCCCGAAGCCCAAATCCCAAAAAGGATCCACCGAATGTCGTTCCGAGGGTCTCTCCGGACTCTTGGTCGACCTGTGACAAGGTCCAGCGTCCCGGCTTCAGCGTGTCCTGGGGTTGAAGGTCTCGGGGGGTGTAGGTCGTAGGGTTGAGGGTTGAAGGTTTCGGGGGGTGTATCTAGGTTTAGGGTTGAGGGTTGAAGGTTTCGGGGTGCATTTAGGGTAAAGGGGCTTGAGATAGTTTTAGGTGTTATTAGGATTTAAGGGTTAAGGGTTTATGGTTGAAGGTTTCAGGGCGTATTTAGAGTACAGGGGTTTGAGTTAGTTTTAGGGGCTATCAGGATTTAAGAGTTTAGGGTTGAAGGTTTCGGGGTGTATTTAGGGTAAAGGGGTTTGGGTTAGTTTTAGAATTTATTAGGGTTTAAGGATTTCGGGTTTCCGGGTTTATTCAGGGGGCAGGGGATTGAGATGGCTTAGGGGTTTGGGGTTAGGTTTCGGGGTGCATGTAGAGTGTAGGGGATTGATATGGTTTAGAGGTTTAGGGGTTTAATAGGGGTCCAGGGTTTGGGCTTGTCAGCTCTAGATCCGGCAGCCTCCGCCCTAAAGCAAAACCCTCAACAGTTCCCTCACAAGCCCAAAGGCCTAAGTATATGCTATATATTATATGGGTACATGGAGCCTTAGGGAAGGGAATTGGACGTGACATGGAATCCTGAAAATTATCACCTCAACCCCAAACACTCAAGCCTAAACCCACAGCCCCACACCCAGTTGGAGGGTCGCGACACATTGCAAGTAGTGACTTTATAGTCTTCACAGTAACATAAACCCAATTCGGCTCCCTTTTGGGATACTTCTAAGTCTACTGATTGCTACTTACTAAGTCTCCCGGACCCCCTTATAGAAGGAACCATTATGGAACGCCTAGAGCCCCTTAAGGGGTTCTACTCAGCCCCCAGACCCTCCAAAAACGACCCGAAAAAGCACCGTCCTGCTGTAAGTATGGGATGACGGGAACCTCGTAGAAGGGTGGCCGGATGACGATGCCCGCTAGGTCCTCCCAGAGTGGTGTTCAGGGTTTAGGGTTTGGGGTTCAGGGTTTAGGGTTTAGGGTTCGGGGTTTAGGGGTTTAGGGTTTAGGGTTCGGGTTTCGGGGTTTAGGACTTAGGATTTAGGGTTCAAGGCTTAGGGATATGTTTGTGAGCTCCTTTTCTCCGAAGCCTTGAGGTCCCGAAGAGGCTTTAACAGCCAGGACAGCTACTTAAAGGGTCATGGGACTTAATAAGTAGGTGAAAAATAGACTGATAAGTACACTAAAAGGGACCCTATTTGGGGTTATGGTACTTATAAGTCTCTAAAATAACTAGTTGCTCAGTCCCCCGATCCTCCAAGTAGGGATTAGGGTTTGGTCTTCCGAGAGTAGGATGCATACCTAGACCCTCGGCAGGATCTAGAAAGTAGATCTTAAGGGGGTTCCTCTAAAGTACCCCTTTGGTAGTTCAGGGTCCCAACTAAGGGTTAGGATGTAATATAGGGACCTACATAATTACCAAGACCGTTTGGGGGTCCTAATGATAAGTATAGTATAATGGGCCTCAAGCCCTTTTCTACTTAATAAGGCCCTTATAGCATAAGGGCTCCGAAACCCTCATCCCTAAACTGTTTGTAGTGATGCTTTGTTGAAGGGAGGGGAGGGGTCGGGCTCAAAGTCCTGGCTGTTCTTGTTCTCAGATTCTCGAGTTTGCGTCTGCGGTGGTTAGGTCTGTAGGGACTACAGGCCCAAAGTTAAAGGGTCCTAGGTCCTAGGCACCATCATGGGGGATACTTCCCCATGGGGCCTTAATAGTTAGAAATGGGTGCTTTGGCATTAGATTGAGGAACCCTGGGTTTATAGATTTACCAGGTCTGGGTGTAGGGTTCAGGGTTTAAGGCATATGGTTTAGGGCTTGGGGTTTCTAGTCGACCTTAGATAACACAAGGAACAGAACACGATGCATTAAGCCAATGTTTACACTGTAATTTAGTAATAAGACCCAAAAAACACTTTCTAGGGTCTATAATAAGTCCAGGTAATTTTAACCTTGAGGCTCAGCCGAGTGCCTTGAGCTTGATCGTGGCTGCCGCTTCCTTGTCCTGTCAGCTGTCCCCGGACGCGTGCATTCTTTAAACTTTACACCACCGAAACACACACCCTGCATATCAAAACACGCTCGGGCTTCAAGACTTGTGGCTAGAACCTGAACTTTGATCCCTACACCCTGAACCGCAGAAAACCAACATCGTGTTTCAATGATCAAGGTCGCCATCCCCCAGGTCAGGTGATGTTCTCTTTCCCAGGTAGTTACAAAAAATCCTGAACTATGCGGTATAACCGTAAACTATAACTATAACGGTCTTCACTATGCGTGTTTTGCTATAATGGGTCGCGGGGTATGCATTGATACCTTTGTTAGTGCAGGGCTTGCGTTTTAGAAGGATCCCCAACATGAATACGATTCAAGACCGAGGTGGCTCGGGCGATGTGTCTATTCAGCTCGAGCATCCTCCCGTGAACATTCTCGTCCAGCATGTCGCCATTCTCTCTACCTGTCATATACAGAAATATTGTCGCTTGTTCGAGTTCCTCGAGATGGCCACACGCCTTCTTAAACCCTAAACCCTAAACCCGAAACCCTAAACCTGAGTTTTGTGGCGATCGTCCATGGAAAAGTTCAAGCCGCGAAGCACGTCGACCTTAGAGGCCGGATTCGCAATGCTGGCACACAGCATGCAGACCATTCCTCTCATTATAGGATCCTGAAGGGAGGGTGGTTCAAGGGGGGAGGGTAGAAGGAATCCTTAGGGGACTGTAAGGGAACTTAGGGAGTACTAGGGCCTAGGGAGACTTAGGGATCACCAGGCTATATACCCCCTTGGACCCCCCTCCCTTAAGGATACTACAATCTCACGTTCTGTCAATTAGCTGCGATTTCCTCTCGCAGATCATCGAGAGCTATGTCGTCTTGTTCCATGTATTGGTTCGCCTCCGCTAAATGCAGCTTTAGCTTGGCGAGCTCGGTATCCGCATGCTCAACCCTACAATCTGAAACACGTCTAGACCTCCAGAATACAAGGCTAAGAAAACAATGCCAAAACGACAAACCATAACCCTAAATCGCTGAACCCCTATATAACCCCCTAAACCCTAATAACTACAGTATAGGGTACGAACGGATCCTTTGTATGAGCCCTTACAAGATCATCTGTGCGAACATTGTCACGCAAGGTAACGAAAGCGGGCATCTGTCGTTCCAGATCGGTTTTGCTAACCCCAGCCGACAGCTCAAACCTGGGAGAAGCTACGCCGGAGACACAGATGTTCAGATGTTCAGGTATGAAGGCATTTCCGTGCAGCCACTTGGCCGACTTTCGAAAAAAGATCCTGTGTGGACAGAAGCCCATGCCAGAGCAGTTCCCAACGATGACATTCGGCAATACACAGGCACGAGCTTGCACTTTCCAGTGCCTATGAAGCATCCTGACCCAGAATACAACAATGGGTTGGTAACTTCTTATGTTTGGGATTTAAGCGTTTTGTCCAGCTAGGTGCCACACCTGATACATTGAAGCTCGACCGACCCCGAACCAACCGCTGCCATACACCGCAGTCGGATATGTACCGTGCCGAAGCTAAAACCCCACACTGGAGTAAAGGGTTTAGGGTCTACGGCCGGCTCAGAGTCTAGGTGGCCTGAACAACTAAATCGTACAATCTGGAAACACACAACTCTAATGCTTTATCCCAAACCCTACACCCCGAAGCTCCTATACTCCTGAGCAACACCTAAAACACGACGTAAACCCAAGACTCTACACTATTGATCACAATGTAAGCCTTGAAGGAACCCTTAACTTGCCTACTATAGGGGTCCCACATAACAAAAGCAGCAACCTGCACTTATAGCACTTATGCAGTCATAGTGTACTACAATAACTGACTATTCTCAAGGCCCCCATGCCTTTATGACAGAAGCCCTTCAAGAACCGTCGAGAAACAAAAACACCAAAGCAGCTTACACCCTGAAAGCCTACGGCCTAAACTCCTAAACGGTAAGCCCAAAACCTCCAACCCGAAACCCTATAAGCCTAAAACCACCAACCCGAAACCCTAAACTCCCCCAAATCCCCCAAACCCTAAACCCTAAACAACCTCAAACCCCTACAACCCTCTAAATCCTAAACCCTTACAGTAAAAGCTAGAAAGTTGGAATATGATTATCCTAACCCCTTTATGGTAAAATATAGGGTATCCTACCCTGAAACCATATTCCAACTTTCTGGAGTTCCCTTTAAACCCTAAACCTTAAACCCTAAACCCTAAACCTTAAACCCTAAACCCTAAACCCTAAACCCTGCATCCCTGAATCCCTAAACCCTTTAGACCTGCTGGTCGCCCTCTGCCGCCAGGTGGAGCCAGGGCTTCAGTTGCTCTGCGCCGTCCCGCCATCCTCGACAGCTCCCATGGGGAGTGTATGGCTTAAAGGAACCTAAACCATAAAAAAGGGAATAAGGGCCTACTCTAGGTCCTAGTTAAAGGCTTCTACAAGGCATCTGTAGGGGTTTAGAGTTTAGGGTCTAAAGGGAACTCCAGAAAGTTGGAATATGGATTAATGGTAGAAACCCCTATAATTTACCTTGAAGGGGTTACGATAATGATATTCCAACTTTCTGGCTTCTACTGTAGGGGTTTAGGGGTTTGGGGCTTATAAGGTCTCGGAGTGTTTGAAGGTCTAGGACCGTCTAAGAGTGCGGGCTTTAGGGGCTTGGAGCTATTTAGGGCTACTTTGCTTCTGTAAGGCTTTAAACGGTTCCATCGGGTTTGGCAAGGGTCTCATAGGGTTTAGTAGGTCCAAGCTTTGTTTTAGTTGGGTCTGATGTTTGCTTAAGGCTTCATTGCATGTCTTAGCGGCGTTTCCGTCGCTGTGTTTGGGAGAGGGTGGTTTTCGATACTGCCTGCAGGGTTTTGGGGGGTCTCTTAATTCTGGGTCTGGGGTTTTAGGGGTTGCCACTGCTGGTGGGCGTTGGAGAACGGCTCAGTCAGCCACTGCCTATTGGAGGAGGGCTGACTTTTAACACCCCTTAATTCAGGAATCTGCCTTAACTCGTATGCGGGTTTCAGTGAGAGTTTGAGATCTAAAGCCGTACAATATTAGCTACTATAGAACCTACAGCGACCAGTTTTTTGCCTTACTTTCTAATTGTCGGATCCGAAGCATGAAGCAGGTGATCCAACGAGAGGTACAACATTCCAGGGTCTACCCTGAGGGTCCTAGCACTTTGGGGAACCTCAAAAGATAGGATTCCTGAAGCCCCAACGAGACCCAAGGGCTCTCCCTAGGAGATTCCGGACCGTCCCAAGGAGATACCTGGACCCTTTGGGTAGGCATTTTGCCAAGAGACGGCCTTGAGTGGAGTCATCCGCAAGGAAGTTGAAGTTACGGCTGAACCTGCTCAGACGTGGGTTACCGGCGACTCTAAGTCTAGGGATCAAATAGATCAAAAGCCTTATATGGTATGGTCTTTGGGCCCAAAAGCCTTAATTTGATATGTGAGTCCTTAGATCCCTAGGGTAAATCTACCCCATCAATCCTAAACCTTTTGAACCTAAGTCTAAGTCTAGGAAGACTACCTACTGTGAGATCAAAAGTCGGAAGGTCCTGCACAGGGTTTAGGGTGTCGGGTTCAGGGTCCTAAACCTTACAAGACCCAGTCTGCGCTGGGCGCTGCTTGATTTGATAGGGATTTGGGCGGTCTGCGTTCCAGGTCTAAGGGATCTAGAGTTGGTGTACCTAAAGGGTCATGGGACTTAGTAACTAGGGTTATAAATATTAAGGTAACTATACTAGAATGATTCATAACCTCAGTTAAGGTACGTATAACCTTCCTGACTAAGTCCCATGATCCTCCAAGTACGGGTACGGAGGTTAGGGTCTCCGGTTTGGGTCTGGGCTGAAGGCCCTAAACCCTAAACCCTAAACCCCTAAACCCTAAACCCTATGAGCCCAAATTTTCCCGACGGGACCTCCGACTCCCTGCAGAAGTCAATGCAAACATTGCGCGGCATACACCACAAACCCTAAGGCTCCATGTACCTATAGTAGGGTTTAGGGTTTAGGGTTTAGGGTTATAGTATATACTTAGGCCTTAAAGTGCCTATATAGGAACCCCTTTGAGGCATAAGTATCTACTATAAAGGTACATGGAGCCTTTGGGAAAGGGCAGAATGCCCTGCGCTGCAGAGCTCAGCAGTGTACTCACCACAGGTATCACAAAGCTCATCTTTTCTTTAATCCCATGATCACCTAGATGGCTAACGTAGGCAACTTACAGGTAGGCAACTTACAGGTAGGATATGATTGCAAGTATAAGTGACCCTAAGGCTCTACGTTCCAAGTGACCCTACACCCTAAACTCTAAACCCTCATGCTCTAGGGTTTGGGGGCCCGAACACCCTGCTACGTAAGGCTGTTTGAACCAGCCCCAATCGCCAAACTCTCAACCCTAACCCTAGACCATCAATCCTAAATCGTCAACCCTAAACCTCAAATCTGAACTCTCAACCGCATCCCTATGCCCTCCCCAACGCTCAAGCCCAAAGCTCCGAACCCGAAACCCTGAAAACCAGTAGCACGAGGGAGTGACGGGGGGGGGGTAAGGTTTAGGGTTTAAAGATGTGTGGGTTGTTTATTCTACCATGGCGGACTTGTCGACTGCCAGCTTATCCACAAGAGGCACATAGGAGCTGAGCAGCTTCGTGTGTAGGGTTTAGGTTGTTGGGTTGTCTCCTCAAATCCTCAGATCCGATACCAGCTTTATCAACCTAAATCCCTGCAGCAACCGCAACTACTATTTGCTTAAAAAAAATAAAAATATATTCCTTATGGGGGTAATATAGGGAGTATTATTTTATTTTTTGGGGGTTTCTTAAGCAAATAGTAGGCAAGACCCTGAGCCCCCCGAATCGAACCCCCCAAAATACCACAACCCCTAAACCCTAAACCACCAAAATACCGAACCCCTGAGACCCACAAATCCCCTGAGCCTTGGTTTGGGCTGAACCCTGAAACCCTTAACACCGAGCCCTAAACTCAAAACCCTAAAGCCCTGAACCTTATTTCAAAAACCCTAAATCTTGCTATAAACCCTAAACCTTTATACAATCCTGAGAGGCAAAACCCTAAAACCCTAAATTCTCAAAACACCCAAATTAATAAAAGCCCCAAGCATGAGCCTCGCCGGGCCACCCCCTCCGATAGCAAGCTCGATGGCACCGCCCTCCCAGAATGAGCTGACCTTCTTTGATGAGGGTTTAGGGGTTTAGGGTAGGGTTTTGGGTTTAGGGGTTTCTTGTTTTCCATAGACTTCGACATAGGAACAACGACAGCTGGATGATTGTCGCGAGTTTAAGGTTTAGCTTAGGGTTTAGGGTTTACGGCTTGGGATCGAGGGTTTACCAGCTTACCAACATGTGTAATTTTGGAGACTAGGAGGATGGCACGGGGGCAACGGTGGTATCCCAGACCCGGGAGGATCTAGCAAGTAGAATCCCGAATTTGGGACCCTATACTATTAAGTGGTGCCTTGTAGGAGCCCCCCTGGGAGGGGTCTACTTTCTAGAAACTCTCGGGGGGTTCTGAGTTCTGCGGTTTAGCATCAAGACATCCGAATCTTAACAAAAGGAGATTTCGTCAACTCTATGGGGCTTCTTGGCGTACGGAATGCCTCGCAATGCTTCGGACGTTCTGTTTATATAGCCGTCTTGTGTTCCATGGATCCAACTCTAATCCATCAAACCATCTGGAGTGCCCAGAATGGAACCACATAACCTCGAATCCGAAACTTCACTTACATGAAACGATAGCAAACTATATACAGAATAATGTGCCAGGCCACATAAAGCTTGCAGTCGGCGATGGACTCGGGTAAGTTTCTCAGTCCCAAGAGACTAAAGTCCATCTTGAATCTCAGACCTTGGGGCAGATCTGGGGATCCTTAAGGGGATCTACAGGGGTTATGGGTTCCTGTAAAGGGATCTGTAACGGTTCTTACATATTATTAAGTCTCCCGACCCTTCAAGTGCAACAAATCTACGCATGATTTTGTTGGATGAATTTGGGGTTTAGGAATTAAAATTTAGGGATTTAGAATAGGGTTTAGAGCCTAGGGATGAATTTTGTTAACGGGTCCTAGGTGCTGCTGCGGGGAATACTTCCCCAGTAATTCCTAACAAAGAAACCCTACATTCTAGTATATAGGTACCTAGCAAAACCCTAAACGTGAACCCTAGGACCCTTTAGTTTTGGCATGCTGAGTGGCAAGGTCTCTCTCTTTCCGAATAAAATAGGGGCCTTGATAATAAGAATAGGGTTTTGGGGCCCATTATACTAGTACTTCATTAAGGAGCCCCCCCAAATAGTCTTGATAATTATTTAAGCTCCTATAGTATATAGGAGCCTGTTTACGCGTCTATGAGATGTGCTTAAATGTGTGAAACAGTTTGAGAGTTTGTGCTTTGTTGAAGGGCTTGGGTCGATATGGGCTCACGGCCATTTCCTCTTCATGGTTAGGCCCCCTAAACTGTAGAAAGCTTTTGAAGGCTTGTAGACGGCTCCTTTCAAGAGCGAAACTAGCGTGAATGCATCAGGTGCAGGTCAGGAGTGCTCCAAGGCGTTTGACTCATTTTCCAATCCCAACTCCAATTTTTTGTGAGCAGGGGTTCAGGTTTTGGGGTTCTGGGATCAGAATTCAAGGTTTCGGGATTAATGGTGCCAGGTTGCGAGGTGGGGGGTGCAGGGTGGGTTATCCTTCTACGACAGCTAAATGCAATGTGCACTAGCTGGTGAAGCCGACAACTCGGAAGATCATGTGACTTAGTAGGTAAGGTTATAAGTTATAAGTACCTTAGGTGAGGTTACAAGTAGTTATAAGTACAGATACCTTAATTATAACCCTAGTTACTAAGTCACATGACCCTTTAAGTAACCCTACCCTCTTATAGTAGAACCCTTATAGATCTCTTTAAAGGAGCTCTTATAGAACCCTTATTATAGATCCTTTCTAAGGAACCCTAGAAGCCGACAAGATCAACTAGGGTTCACCCCAAACTACTGCGGAATTACTTTAAGGGTCATGGGCCTTAGTAACTAGGGCTATAATTAAGGTATCTATACCTATACTTACTGAAAACCATCTCTTTACTTATAACCCTATATACTAAGTCCGATGATCCTCCAAGTGGGGTTTAGGGCTTACCTCGAATTTCCGCAGGGTTTAGGGTGTAGGGTTTGCCTGAACTAAACTAAACTACCTTTTGCTAGGCTCTGGATATAACTTCCAGTAAAGAATGTATAGGCTTCAAGGGGGTTTATAAGGGAATCTAAACCCTAAAAAGGGAATAAGGGCCTACTCTGGGTCCTAGTTTAGGAGTTTGCAGTTAAGGACTCTGTCTATAGATTTTATGCTTCAGGGTTTCCGGCTTCGGTTTAGCACTCTAGATTTAAGGACTGTGGTGCATGTACCTATATGGAGTACATGAACCCCCCACTAGGAGGGTCCAGGGACTTAGTAAGTAGGGATTCTATACACCTCTAAGTATCACAACCCCAACTAAGGTCCCTTTTAGGGTATTTGTTGTAGCTCTGAAAAGAAGCTAGGATACCCAGTAACCCAAGAATAAAAAGGCCTCTCGTTTTGGTATTGGGTAACCTTATAAGGAACCTAGGACTACAAAAAGGGAATATGGGTACTACTGGGCATCCTAGTACTTCATAAATGCCCCGACCCTCGGGTTGGGACCCTGAAGCACCGAGTGGATGGCTCTGGTGCGTCTTGATGTGGTGGATCGTCACTCCACTCGGCGCGTCCTCGGTTTCGGTCGTCAGGGCTTAGGGTCTATAGCGGTCTACAGTTCGGGGTTTGCGGGTTTAAAGCTTTTTGAGCTTAGGCTGTGGGGGCATTCAGTTTACAGTAGAGTTTAGGGTTAAGGCTTGAAGGGTCGACGACGGCCTCCTCCATTCGGAGCAGGCTCTCTGTCAGGCTTTCGGATTTAGAGCTGAGGGGTTTGGGCTTAAGGCTTCAGGACTTAGCAGTTCGGGTCAGGGGATTTAGTTTGGGGTTCGGACTGTATGTTTTGGTGTGACTTCGACTTCGCCATACATCCTGAACACCCCCACACCCTTTTCCCGTAACTCCCTGTATAAAACCCTTATAGATCCCTGAAGGAACCCTTTTATAAGTATAACTACCCCAGCCCAGAGAATTAATTCTCCAAACCCCAAACCCTAAGCGTCTAAAGACTCGGGCCCTGCGGGACTTCCTATGCCTTAGGGGCCCGAGCGGGCTTCGGTGAAGACCCTAAACTTTCATAGGGCTTAGGGTTTAGGGTTTAGGGTTTAGGGCCCTAAACCCTAAATAATGCGGTTGTTGATATAAACCCTGCACTACCCATTATAAGGAATATGCGATAATTGCCATAGTTTAGGGTCCTTAAGGTACTGCATGTTTTATATCATCAAAGGTATAGCTGTAATAAGGAACCCTTATAAGGAAGAATACAGACATAAAAAAGGAACCTGAAGAAATAATATGACTAGAAGACGGTACTCTGCGGAATAGTATTGGTAGGTATGTAAGGTTCCATGTCCCCAAGGGTCCATGTGCCCAATTTAGTATATATACTTCGGCAGTAAAGTAGTCAGTATAGGTATTTTAAGACCAAAGTATATACTACATGGGTACCTGGACCCTTCGGGATTTAGAACACTAGGAAGCTTGGGACGTACAAGTTTTTACGATTTAACCCTTACCTATGGCCGCTTTTGGATGCAATGGGTCCTTCGCCAAGTTCTTGCCCTGCGTCAGCCCATCGCGCAAGTTCGCCTCGCAACGTCTCCAACCACTGCAAGCACTTCCAACCTGCATACAAATGCCCTGGTTTTAAACCGCAACCCTTCGCCAACTGCCTAAGTAGGATGAAGTTATACGGTTATTTATATATATATGTATATATATATATAAATAGCTATACCATCTGCTCCTGCAAGAACTGTTCAGCCGAAGTGCTGCTACAATCCCACTGATGAGACTGCAAGCTCTGAATCCGCAGGCTCTAAGGTGTGATATTTGCAACTAGTTCCCAGGATCTTTAATGTAAGGAAAGACCAAACCTGCCCCTTTTTAGAACAGAATGCTCAGCCCTTCATACTTGGAGGGTCAGTAGGTAGTAAGTAGACTTATAAGCACCCTAATGGGGGCCCTAAATAGGGGTTACGATACTTATAAGTCTCTAAAATGAGACCATTTACTAAGTCCCCCGACCCTCCAAGTAGGATGCAACCAAAGACCCTCAACCCTATATCCGAACTTGAAGATGCTCTCTAACCGGCAAAGGAACACCTTAAAAGCACTATATCCCAAACCCTAAAGGAACACCCCAAAACCCCAAACCCATGATCCCAGCCCGGATAAGCACTGAGCTCATCCTAAGACACTACGATAGGGGCCCTCCCGGAGACCTTGAAGGACCTTTTTTTTCTAGAAATATTTTATTTTTAGAATCGTTTCATTTATGTTTTTGATTTCTAAAATAAATAGATATAGTAGAAGATCAAATGTTGGAAACCCAAGAGCCTCAAGCCTTAAGAGTGTTGAAAAGGGAATCCCAGCACTATCTGGCCTTAATCCGGTTGCCAACTTTATCGGGATTACTGTAAAGTGTAGAACGCCCCAGAAGGCATGTGTATGGCTCAAGATTGTCTGGGCTGAGAACTCGACCAGGGTTTTGCAAGGCTTCTTATACGTCAGTATGATTGTAATGGACTTTGCGTTGTAAAGGGATTGATTGCAAGGGTTTAATCCATGTTGCTGATAATCGAAGATAAGGCATCTAAATTATTACATCCTCAAAGCTTAAAGCCTTACCGGGCTTCCGTTAAGGCGGGTCTAGGGATTCATACTCCAGGTTCTATGCTTTAGGATGTTAGCCGAGAAAGGAGCTCAATTTCAGCTCACATGATAGGGATATGGGAATTGCACTACTCTGATTTTCTTCTTTATCCTGGCGAATGCACCTTGGCTGAAGCACAGCCTACTTAACCCCGGACTATATGGACCCTTAGGGCAATCCACCCATCCTTCTAAAGAGACCCAGGGAGGATCTAAAAGGTAGACCCCCAGTCGGGTTCCCCTACTCCGAAACTCGGAGGGTCGGGGGACTTAGTAGGTAGGTAACAAGTAGACTTAGAAGTACCATAAGAGGGTCCATAATTGGGCTTATGATACTTATAAGCCTATCAGATAACTACATATTCACTTGACCCTCCAAGCAGGGTACTTGATCGGAAGCCTCTGCAGGGATCTAGTTTGGCAATATTTTGGGATGCTCCCAGGAGTTTAGGGCAGTGGATCGTATATACTCTAGGCAAACCCTCATCGAACCCAGCCATGCAGTGCACGCTTTTCCCTGCACATGGCACAAGTTGCCCTTCGCAGGCTAAAGCGTGGGGTTAAGAGTGCTACTAATGATGTAATTAAGTTAGTTTGGGGTATAGGTTTTGATGGTCGGGTCTGGCGTTCCTCCCCTCATCTGCTGTTTAGGGCTTAGGGTCTGTGTAGGATGAGGGATGATAGGGTTTGCGGCTCAAGGCTGCTGATGTCTATATCTAGGATACCCAGTAACCTAAGAATAAAAAGGCCTCTCTTTTTGGTATTGGGTAACTTTATAAGGAACCTAGGACTACAAAAAGGGAATAAGGGCACTACTGGGCATCCTAGATATCGTGGGTTTGTTCCAGGACCGCTTCTTGTTCACGACTCTGGATGCAATCTCGGTGCTCGTGGGAAATTTTGGATGCTGGCGCGGCGTAGCTGAAATGCTGGGGGTGGTACATCGATCGAACCGATCGTCTGGTCGTCTAAGCTTGTCTAGAAATCCACAACTCCCTGTTTCTATAACACTGTGCAGCTTATGCTGCGATTAATGGGCGTATTTTGGTGAGCCAGCAACCCTGTAATGATAAGGGTGCCCCTTTTTCAGGTGTTCAGGTTTAGTGAAGAGATGCATTTAGGTGCTGGTAAGTAACCTAGATCACACCAATCCTAAAGCTGCAAAGGACTCATAGTTTAATGATGTTGGGCCGAGAGAACGTACTACGTACAGCTTTCGCGCTGTTTTGAGCCCCCAAACCCTACCCTAAACCCTAAAGTCTAGACACCACGGCGTTTGTTGGTCATCAAATAGTCTAACTCTACTAGGATGCCCAGTAACCTAGGAATAGAAAGGGCTCCCTGGGTAACTTAATAAGGAACCTGGGACTACAAAAGGGGAATGAGGGTACTCTTGCGCATCCTAGTCTAAGTCTCTACTCTACCATAGTCTCCATTGTAGTTCCTTTTTTTGGTAACCAAATTCTCTATTTTAGGATCCTAACCATAAAACTGGTTAACCAAAAAAAGGGAGCTGCAATGGAGACTATACTTGGAGTGTCGGGGGACTTAGTAAGTAGCGATTTTAGAGACGTAAAGTACCATAACCCCAAATAGGGTCCCTTAAGGCACTTGTAAGTCCATGTATAACCTACTTGCTAAGTCCGCCGACTCTCCTTATAGAACCTTTATAGACCCCTTTAAAAGAGCCCTTTATAGAACCTCTATAGATCCCCTTAAGGGTACTAAGTCGACCCTCTAAGTAAGATCCCTTGAATAAGGAATGTTCCTTAGATCATATTAGGGATCCTACCATAATGTAAAGTTTTCCCCCTAATTAAGGAATATTCCTTAAATCATCTTAGGGATCCTACTATAATTTAAGGTATACCCCTGAATTAAGGAATATTCCTTAAATCATCTTAGGGATCCTACTATAATGTAAAGTTTTCCCCCTAACTAAGGAATATTCCTTAAATCATCTTACCCCAAGGGTCCAAGTACCTTATAATCATATACTCTCCCAAATCCTAACCTACATAACTACTATCCTAAAACCGAGTACCTGATTATTGGGTCCTTTAGACCCTTCAACCCGAAACCTTCAACCCTAAACCCCCTTATAAGGGAGTTTCCGAAAATGGGGGACCCTTATATAGTACCCTAAATAGTAGGATCCTACTAAGCTTCTGCAAGACACGTTGCAGCAGGGGGTCGCTAGCCTTTGGCAGCGCCCCGTCAGCTGCCACCCTGATTCCCGGGAGCATCCATAACGTAGAACCTCTTAAGAGGCCTATATATAATATAATATAGTTATCTAATACAATATATAATATAATGTAAGAATAAAATATAATATAACATTATAACGTTATAATATATATATATATATATATATATATATATTTATTTATTTATATATATATATATATATGTATATATATATATATATATGTATATACTGCCAGTATGGAATTAGCTCCCAAAAAACCTTCCTTAATGTGGTTTTGGGGACCTAGATAATTCCATGATGGTAGGATACATGTTTTTCGCTCTATGCATTGGATGCTTTAAAGGGTTTGTTCGGTGCTTGCTAGATCCAGCACCTCCACAGAATCCTGTCATATGCTTTAGGATTGGAGCATAGGGTGAAGGATTTAGCTTCTGGCGTTTAGGGTTTTGGGTCCTTTCCAACCCTAAGCAGTGTGCTAAGGTTCAGGTTTTAGGTTTTAGGGCTTAGGTTTTAGGGTCTATGGGCAGGGAGGCGCTGGCTGCCATGCAACTGCCGGTTTGCCCTCTCAGCAAACTGCACGCTGCCGGCCGCGGCTTTAGAAGTTCAGGGTTTACTTAAAGGATCATGGGACTTAGTAACTAGGGCTATAATTAGGGTAACTGTACTTATAATTACTTGTAACCCCATTAGTAGGGTACTTATAACCTTACTTACTAAGTCCCACGATCCTCCAAGTAGGGTGTACTTGAAGCGCTGCCTGGCCCTACGAGGACGTACATCTTTAGGGTTTCTCATGATGGTTTCTTTCTGGCAATTTATCAACAGGTGGGTTTTGGGGCTTCGAGGTGCGCTGTAAGTACCTACTCTACATGTCCTACGGTTGAAGATATAAATCCTGCATTACCTTAAGGGCCCTAAACTATGGAATTCTGGTATATTCCTTATTATGGGGAATGCAGGATTTATATCATCAACCCTAAACCCTAAAGCGTAGCAACCCTTTCCTTCAAGTCAAACCAGGAGTTTCCGAGGCTATGAAGTGGGAGTTTCCCAACATTAGGGGTGGGTCCTTATAATAGGGATCCTACTATTTCGGGTACTACACCAGGGTCCCCTATTTTCGGAAACTCCCAAGTAGTAACGACCCTAACCTTGCCACTCCAACATACTTGTTACACGGGGTCCACGCAAATCTGAAACACCATAGTTGCAGTAGCTTGAGATGGTACGTGGATTTCAAGATAGCGGGACATGGGTCCCTGGATAACTCCTGCGAGGGGATTCAGAGATGTGCAGTCAGTCGTATAGGGGTCGTACTAGCTAGTGTACTGAGACAAGGATTTAGTGCCTGTACTGGGACATTATCACTCGCTTTTCCATAAGCCCAATGCCCCTTTACTAAAACTCTTGTTGCTAATCTATCACTAAAAGTGACGACAGCTTAAGTGCTATCAAAGACTTTGGGAGTTTTCCGGGTTTCTCATGCCAGCAGTGTGCTCTGGACAGTCAGGGACGCGCTTGCCGCAGCCTGCATGCATCCAGTGCACAGTAAAAGCCCAAGCAACCCGAACCATCAACACAGGACTATGTACAATAGTCACGACGCAACTCCTGAGAAGTTGGTTTGGCAGTTCTAGCCCCAATACAGAAGCCTCACTAATTAGGCAGAGTTATATAGGGTACAACACAGCTGTATGGGGTTTGGGGATAGGGCTCCCGTAAT